AACATGTCGATGAAAAAATCTCTTATATTTCATTCCTTCATCATCATTCTTTTGATAGTTTACTATAGAAGTATCGTCCCCATCAAGATTAATCAATCCTTTTTTAACACCAATAATATAATCTTTATCATTTCCTCCTTTTCCATATACAAAATCAGCAACACACCCAAAATGTGTAACAAAATTATGACCATAATCATAATATACCCAACCACTCGATTTTTCTATCGAGTGGTTGCAAATATCACAAAGGAGTGGTCCGGCTTCATTCCTCAAAGGATTCGAGTAAAATACAGATAATGTCATTTCCTTATGAGGAACCTTATAAGGCATAGACGCACACCCCATATGAAGAGAAAAATCACAGTGATCGCATGAATAATGAAAATTGAATAATAAAGCAGGATTATCACCAACGTGACATGCTTTGCAATTAAATTGATCGTTAATACTATACTTGAGAATTAATTGATGTCCAGGATGAGCCAAATGTTCGATAATTTGTGGAAATTCGGAACATGACTCATGTAGAAAATACCTACAACGTTTGCATCCGTACGACATGCCTGAAATTGTGGTTTCACAGAAATTGCAGTGCACGGAATCCGAGGCACGCAACGAGTACGTTAACAAATTATGTCGATGACTAAAGTGTTTACGTTCGTTGTTTCCAACTCGTTGAATCTCATCAATCATACTAATATTACTATTATAGTCCGATTGATGATTTTTGATCGATGATTGTTGAATGCTTACTTCAGATATGTAACGGAATCGACAAGGGAATGGATGATCTCGGAGAGAGATGAATTCGTTTTTTTCTAAGTTTTTGATTTTCATATGGGAGTCCATTTGTGTTTGAGAAGAATAAGAGTTTTTTTTTTTTTTGTGTGTGTGTAATTTGGAGATTTAATGGTTTGTGGGGAAAATACATTATTGTAAAGAGTTATATAAAGGGGAAAAATTGAGTCATAATAAGTTGAATTTCAACAGGGGATACTTTCATCAAGTTGATGACTGAAAGTGGTGTTCACATTAAATGTCTTGTTTACGCGTTATACTTGACTAGATAATTGTTTGAATATTTGCCAATTCTAATTTTGTGTCTAGAAGAATGATTAATGCTTACAAAAGTTGAATAGTTAGCTAACTAAGCAAAAATTAGTATTAGTTGTCAACTTTTTTTTTTGTGACTCGAATTTTCTGACCACAATCTTAGAGTTGAAAGTGAAATATGTTTATCATTTGAGCAATTCTCTCTTATTTCTATTTCGTTGATTCTGTTTTTTTATCAGTGATTTACTGGCCACTAGACCGATGAAGAATGTGACATTCTTTTCTTTTAGTTAAATTTGTTCCAAAAAAAATGTTAACTTACTATAATTAGAGATAATTTAATTTTAGAAATCTCATTTTATCTTTAATGAAATAATTTATAAACATACATATGTATAAAATGTTTTAGGCTACAAATTTAAAAAAATATTCTTTTTTTTAAATATACTATATCACATAAAATAGGACATTGGAAAATGTAGCATAAAAAAATTGATCATATGTTCAATAGAGCAACTTTCACATATAACAAACATAAAAAATCATACTTATATGTTATAACTGTAGTTTGCATAATTGCGCTCCATAGCAAATTGCTATGAAACTTTTGATTTGTATAATTCGCTAGATACATCCAATTTTATACAAATTGTTCAGTTTTGTATAAATTCATTTATACATTGTAATTTGTATAATAAGATTTGTATTTGTTAATTATAAGTGTATAAGACGAAAATATATGTATTTGTATTTATATATATCGAAATGTATAAAATGACTAATTGTACCGAAAATGATTAATGGTATACCGAATCAGATGACAAAAAAATGAAATACTTGCTACGAATTACAAATAAAATAAACTATAAATAGCATTTAATTTGAATTAATAATTTATTATTTCATACAATTTTCCCTTCAAAATATTGGAAAGGTCAAAAGAAAGAAGAAAAGAAATTAAGAGCAAATGTGTTAGTTGTAAGATACTTTTAGTAGTTACTACACTATTTCCTCTATTTTACTTTTCTTTTTTCTTCTAAATGTTTTTTAAGAAAATATTAATTGAACGAATAATTTGACTAAATTATTCTTATTTCTTATTTTTATCTCAATTTAATAGTACTTTCTATTTTTCACCATATTAATATCTGTCTACATTAAATGAGTAAGGGTAAATGTAAAAATCAATAGTTAATTATTTTAGTTTCTAAAATGATGATTATTTTTAGATCATCAATGTAAGGGTAAAGGTGAAAATTAATAAGTAGTTGTCAATTATTTTAGTTTGCTAAAATGACAACAACTTTTTCAGTCTATTTTCTCTTGTTCACTATTTTAAAAGGAAAAATCCTTTTGGTCAAAAAATTTGGCCAGAATGGTATTTTACCTTTTAAAAAAAATATTTTTACCCTTTTAATTTTAATACCTTTTAATTAAAAAATGGAAAACGATCAATTTATTTTAAAATAAAAAAAATATTATAGATTTTTTAACTTTCTGACCAAATTCTGGCCATTTAACATTACCCATTTTAAATATAGATTTTTATTTTTAATATATAAAAAAAAAAATAATTATGTTTCCCCATACTTTACTCTCATCACTAACTACTAATTTCCCAAATCATTTTTAAGAGATAGTGTGGTAAATAGTTGTGCCAATTATTATTTTTATTGTGTATATATGGTGTACCAAAGTCCAAATATAACAAATCAAAAATGAACGGAACAAGTATTTTAGATCATCCATATAGGGATAAAGGTGAATATTAAGGGTTACTCATCTTGATTTTTTAAGGGAAAAAAAATCTGAAATATATTTGAATTTTGACCAAAATTGTTGTAACAATTCCAAACTTTGGGCAAGATCTATTACCCTTGCACTATTTAATAGTGTATTTTAAATATATATATAAGTGTCAGCTAGACAAGTTATAATTTATAATGATACAATATTTATGATGTCCATGTGAGCACCTATATATCTTTAAGATATGGTAATAGGTCCTGCCAAAAGTTTAAAATTGTTACAACAATTTCGATCAAAGGTCAAATATATTTCAAACCTTTTTTCCATTTTTAAAAAAGGAAACTAGTTTAGATCATCTATTTTTAGTAAAAATTGATCAAACAAATAAAGTGGACAGTGAGTACACAACAAGTGGATCTCTTTCTGGTTCATAGGCCTACCTAACAATATATTCTTTTTCTACTCAATGTTCAGAGCTAGTATTGAAATTTCGTCCAAATTCAAATCGTACGCTGCAGGATTCATTCGTGACGCTCACAACAAAATTTTCTTCATATCCCAATATCTAAAATACCATACATTTCAATTTCAATGATTCCATTTATAATAGTCAAATAATATGAACTTATGCCATTCAAGCAAAATGTCTCACCGAATATAAATATAAATATAAATCAAAAAAAGAAAGAACGTTAGATGATGAAAACAATGTATGATATGAACTTAATTAGCCCATTCAAGAAATTAAAATAAATGTCTTTTTCTAACAAGTTGTGGTATGTGAACATATCATGATATGTGTTACTGTTATTTGATAAACATTTTTTTAAAAAACCCTATGCTATTATCAATTTTATAATTGGTGGCTAATCTATGAATTGTATTTATGGTTGTGCATGTGTGAGATTGATTATTCCTTTTTAAACCTAATTCAATGGTATTAATGGTGGTTGTTGGGAGTTGGAAAGCATGATAGATAGTGAAAGCTTTTGTACAACTCAATAATTTTTGTGTCAAATTTGTATTTATATTAAAAAAATATTTAAAATATATTATAATTTAACCAACTAAATAAAAATAATTGTGGTGTAGAACTTATAAATTAGTTTTGGTGGCCTAAAATCAATTTCCAATGGTTATTATTGATGAGTGGTGATAAAAATAGTACTCTCTTTTAAGGGCTGCTTATTGTGATGAGTAGATATATAATTATGCTTAACGATTAGATTTAATGGATATCGATTTTAAATATATTATTTTGTCAATTAATTAATAAGTTATTGATTGATTTGGTATTAAATTGGTAACTAATAAATGGTAATTGCGTGAGCGATATATTAAGTACTATTTGTACCCATTTAATTTTATATATATATTTTTTTGTATCTCATCATTTGTGCAAAAACATATTTCTGGAGCTTTGGGGAAAATTCTCAGCTACTCCCTCCCTCCATCTCTCAGAACTAACCTAACAATACCTTTTTGTTTTACTCTTGTGGGGTGTTTTCGGTACGAAGGAAAATGTTTTTCGGGAAAATAAATAAGTTACTAATTTATTTATTTTTGTGTTCCATATGTATGAAAAGTTATTGTTTTAAATTATTTATATATAATCTAGACAAACTTATTGTTTCCTTCGATTGTACTTGGATTTGATGTGGATGGTCTTTTGAAAACAACCTTTCTACCTTTACGAGATAACAGACCCTATTATGGAATTTCACTGATATATTGTTGTTGTTGTAATCTAGACAAATAATATGAGAGGTGGTGGGGCCAGCTACAGAGTGTGTGGACAAAGATGAGCTAGGTCAGAGGGTGGAGAGGACATGATGAATGTAGAATGTCACTCGTAAACTTGTTTTTCCTACTTCCATTTAAAAAGTCATTTTTCTCGTTTTTAAGCAATGTATTCTGCTAGAGAAAATATTTTCCAAAAGTTTTGACAGCACACCCATGGTGTAGAATGGAACTTGCTCATGAAGCTGAATCTATCTTAGAGCTCCTAGCATTCCTTTAGTTTTAGACAGGACTGTACTTTTAATTTGTTTTCTCACTTTTGCCACAATGTTCCTAGTTTTATACTATGCTTGTTGAGGCATACAGCTACACTGGGTGAAATTGTCCTTAAGGAGCTTTGAAGAATTCCCTACTATGTTCGTGGTCAAGTATTTTCCGTAGGATTTCCAATACTCTTTGCATCAAGAAGATGAACATCGCACTTATAAAAAATCAATAAATTGTATCCTTACTTGTAAAAGTGAATATTCCTGAACCATAGGAAGATGTGATCATATCAGCCAAGAGAGGAAATTGCAGAAATGCGAATAAAGTTATAGGAATGCTAGCAAGTGCTGCCACTGGAATGATAATCCAGGTCATTTGATGTCCAAGCACAATGAAAAAGCTTGAACAAAATGCTACCAACATTGCTGCTATAGCAACAAAGAGCGTGATGAAGCCGATGATCAACCTTTTTGGTAAAGTACATAGGAAGTCTTCTTCGGCATAGCGTGAAGTGAGGATGGACAAAAACATCAATATAGAGATTACTGAAGAAAACAATGCCAGTGCATCCATCATAGAGAAAATAATGAATGCTTTCTCTTTAAGAAAAATAGCGGTGCCTGTATCGTTATTGTTCCCTCCTGGCACAGTAAAGATTGCTGCAAACATTACTGTTGTAATTAGTGCAGCAACAAGCATGCAAGATGATGCAGTTTCCTTCATCCACTTCTCTCCCTCTTTGACCAATTCCTTGTGCTCCTCGGTGAACAGCATTCCTGGTGTTCGACCCCTTGAGTCTCTCATCTCCTTATATGAGGCTTGAACAATTGTTTCAACTTCCTTTAGACATGCAGAAGTAGTAATACGTAATGAAATATAGAAAGAAACTACACTTGAAGGAAAGCAGCTTTAATCGACATGGAAAAATTACCTTAAACCACAATAACTCTCGTTGCATCTGGAGTGCTGCACCTGATACAATACCAAGTCGATTTGTAGGAGCTAACTTTGCAGCCAAGTGTAAAATGTTCTCATTATTTGTGCTTTTGTAGGACATAATTATATCTTTGTGTGATCCTATATTGTAGATTAGTTTGTAGATCTTTTCTTGTCGATGAATGACAGCAATGTGAAAGATGCTCCGGCTTTCCTCATCAACCTTCCAGATGATATCTGGATAAGACTGAATAAGCTCTACTATGAACTCCAAATTTCCCAACTCTGCTGCTACAAACAATGGCCGCGAAGGACTTCTAAGTAAGTTCCCAATTTGTGAATCATTCAACAAGAGAACTTTCCATGAACATTTTACCAATTCAAGGGCTTGTAAGTGCATTAATTTTGTCTCGAGAACTTTTCTGACTCCTAGTGTTGAAAAACTCCAGATTAGGTGTTTCTTTTCACAGGTACAGAGAATAATAATCAAGAACTTGGGACCATGTCATACGTTCCATACCGATTGTTTTTAGTAGATGCTGAATTACCCTTGTGATGATCAGGTATGCTGCATTTCCAAAATGTTTATGATCAGTTGGATACATAAATGCTATTACAGAGAAGCTAAATATTACAACTGGAATAAATATACCTACATACCCTTGGTATTGTTTTTTTCCGTTGAGCTGCTGGACATGTTGCTTGATCTATTCTGCAAATGAACAGATACATCTATAGGAAGTCCCATTAATCGGAAGTTCCATTAATCTAGTGATATATAAATACAAAATATATATATCTGATTCATTTCGATTTTGATACAAATGAAGATACTTACATGCATAAACAAGTCTTTGCCAGATTCCAAATCCAATTTTGTCAGAAAATGCCAAGGGCTTTCGTGCTAAGACATGGAGTATCGTGTCTTCATTTTGATCTCGTTCAATGCCTAATTCAGGCATCTGCTGAAGTATATGTAAAGCAACATCTGTTAATAGCATTGTAAGTAAATATATGTGTTAAGTTCCTCTTGGAGTTTCAACTTTATCAAAACAAGTGAAATGGCTGTATTAAATTTATCAAGTTTCTCCCATTTTCAAAAAGAAATTTGGAACCAGAATATGTTCGTACCAAATAAATTGGAGTTTATAGTAGCAATGAGTAAGTTAATATAGTCCTCTTTGCTTAGATACTGATGATCTGTCACTGAATAAAGATACCACACCATCTCTCTGTGGCCTAGTAGAGCAGCCATGTGCAGTGGTGTGACTCCCTTGCTGCCCCTCACCATTGGCAAGAATCGATTTTTCATTACCATAACTTTTGCGATCCTTGTTAGTCCCGATGCAGCAGCAAAGCAAAGTGCAGTATTTTCGTATTTGTTTTGCAGTGCCAGTTCCAGTGGACTCATAAGTTTAACCAGTTCTTCGACAAACTGAACCTTGTTAGCCCCAGCTGCAATGTGAAGAGCAGTTTCCCACCCTTTTGTGATCCTGGCTGATGTTGCACCAGGATGCAGACTGAAAATTTTTCTAGCCTTTTCCCAACTACCGCCTAATGCTGCTTGGCAGAGTGGCGCATACATGGTAAGGTTTATTGGTTTAGTCCCTGCAAGTGGTATGCCTCTACTCTGTTAATTAATCGTGTAAAAAGAGAAAGACGATACTCTACTTTTTCCCTTTGTCAGTTTGGTTGTATCATCTTGTGTTCATGAAGGAGTATTTTTGTGAAGTTCGCTTAAAGGTTTCTGTCTTATGGATGATTATTCATGTTCATGATTCAGTTAAGTATATCTGATTATTCATTTCCTGAGAGTTCACCAGATAATATATAACGCGGTTCAACTTCTATACGCTGACAGTGTAACAGATAACTTTAAGATCATCTAAGCAAGAAACTAGAGTTAACTATCCAAAAGAAAAGCAGCTAATTACAACATGTTAAAATGCACTAATAGTGTTAAAAGTCTTTTCGATATGAATATGCTCAAGTTAAATTCACATCCATAATCTGACTAACTAACCTTTACCTTCCGCAGGTTCACCCGTTCATAGGAAAAAAACAAAGCATATATACCCTTTGTTTAAAAATGAATGACCTAGTTTGACTTGATATAGAGTTAAAAGAAAATAAAGAAGATTTTACAATCTTATAGTCCTAAATTAAAGTTACGTCAAATGTACTAAAATATTTTTTAATCTTGTGGCGTTAAACATGTCACGTGGAAAGCTGAACTTAAAATGTTGACAATAAAAAAGGAAAGGGTTATTACTTTTTAAACAGACGTACATCGTGAGTATATAAATTGGAAGCATTGAGAAATTGTTTTGCTTAACTGGGCCTAAGAAAGGAAGTGGGAAGCGTCTGAGGAGCAGGAGCAATAGGCCTAGAGACAGATTCATTTTGAATGGGAGAAGGAAGTACTGTGGCTTCAGCTTGACCGATTCCGTGATTAAATTGAATTGCAACAGCATGTTGTGGACTAGAACTTCTTGTATTATTGCTGCTGTTTCTCAAAGAAATTCCGTCTGATGTTGCTGTAGTGCTTGGTACTGAGTTTCTCTGTGGAAAGCATGTTGGAATTGAAAGTGTACGTTCCAGTTGTAGTTTTGGGATGTTTTCCATGACAAATTCTATGTATGGTTTAAGAATTTGAAATAGAAAATTTATTGCATTTCTTTGGTTCTTCACTTTGGAATTGGAATTGAAGTTGTTCACTTCCTCACAAGCCTGTTGAGGTCTTTTAAGTCATGATGAAGTTTATGTCAACTAGAAAGTTTCACAGAAACATGTTTTCAGAGTCAGTCAACTGAATAACTTCAAAGAAGCTTCTCATATAATTAAGTACGTGTCTTCAAAAGTATAATTGTCCACATCAGAGGCGGAGCTAATAGGACCCCTTCGGTAGAAAATTATATTGTTTATACATGCAGGGGAGTACCTAGAGGTAGTCGAGGCCCGAGGGTTTCACCCGAACCCCTTTGGTAAAAGATTACACTACAAATATATAAGGTATTTAAAAAAAAATTATGTCTATATATTGATTTTGAACTTCCTAATGTAAGATTAGAAGTTAACTTGGTGGTTGAGGGGTTGAAAACTAACTTTAAGCACTGCACATGGTTAAAATTATATTTTATGTACCTATAGCAGATGTTGAATATTTTTTGATTTCTTCGTGTGTTTACTTTTTCACATTTTGAATCTCTTTAGTGAAAAATCCTGATAGCCACACGTTCTTGGAAACTTGGATATAACAGAAGAAATACATGTAGCTAAGTTTGGTTGACATATTCTGCTGCTGCATTTTTTCAAGATTTTCATTTTCATTCTCAACTTTTGACGATTTTTTCTTCTTTCTGTGCTTTAATACAGTTGCTCTTTCCGCGTATAGTTCGTTAGGTAAGAAGTGTTTCTTTTTTGGTGGGGTTGGTTTGCTTTTTGTTTTTTTGGTATTTTCTTTTGGGTGGTGGTCCTACTGGATTCAGGTAGTAATGCATCTGAATAATTTTGAAACGGTCTTATGTATGGGATTAGTTGTTGTATCACTTTCCTAATATTTGTTACGTATTATTTCATAATATATCGTATATTATGTTTTATTGTATCGTATTACTGTATTATTTTAATGAATATATCATTCGTTTGGATAGATTGTATCATTTTCCGTCATTACACAATGACAATGACAGACATCAACAATTTGAAAGATACATTTATAAGAAAAATATGATACGAGGTAGAGCTACTATTAAAAGTAGGCTAAAGAATAAAATAGGATTAATAAGTGAAGACAAAATGAGAAAAAGAAATAAGATAACAAAGTGTTTACACCAAATTGATCGTTACACAAAATCAGACTTCTCTTCGCTATCTAAAGATGAATTTATCAATATGATTCAATAAAATTTAAAGTAACAATCAAAACAAACACACAATAGGTAACAACCATACAACGCAAGCTGCTGTTAGGATTCGTTGTTGTATCAGCTCCTAAGAATATGAATAAATTGCATTTCTTCTCATTCTCTATCAAGTCTATTTATTTGTTTTATATTCACTACTTGGAAAGCACAGATATCCTAATGAGGATAAAAATACCCTTAATTTTGGAGTATCAAATAAGACAATGAGATTAAAAAAAAGAAAAAAAGAAGAAGGGCAACTAACATAAATTTCTTTAGTTTAGGACTTAATTACGTGTCTTTTTATGAATTTTTGAAATTATCATTTGTGCCATATTTTGGTCCTCAGATACATTGTATCTTGAATACATGAGGTCAAAATTAGGTGTAATTTATTTAATATACATTATATTCAAGTAGATTCGCATGTATCTAACTCTCTTACTCGCCTTTCTCCTATCTTGCTCACCTCTCTCCTAATTATTTGTATCTCAGAATGTATGTGGTATTCTAAATACATGTATCTAGTGTGATTCACATGTATCTAGGATACACATACTCTCTCGTTCGCCTCTCTCCCTATGCATCTGTATTTCAGAGTGTATATGATAGCAAATATACATATATTTAGATGTATCTGACTTGAAAATTGATATTGAGATAATATGTATTAGTGAATATGGTAGACATATTTGTGTAATTAAGTAGTTTTTCTTTAAACATGAACAATATATAACTATCATATTCCTTGAAAATTACAAGAAATATTATAAGTTTTCTTTATTCGAAATTGTCTCACCATTATTTGTTTACTAGACGGTATAGTCAATATAACTTTTGTCCCTACTCATTCCTTATTTTTTTTAATCATGTCTTGTTGATTTGCAATTATTTAAATTCACTAGCCGGCAGTTGACAATATAAGATAATTGCTGGCATAAGAATTGAAGGTTAATTATGACCACTGCTCAAGTGGAAGGACAAAACTTGAACTTAATTAAGCAATTAAGGATCTGACTTCTACATAAAAAATATTGTTTTTCTTCTAAGACCAAGTCTTGGTGCAACAATTAATCAACCTGTACCAATTCTTAAATATTTTTTTCAAACAACCAACTTGGGTTGTGGTGTAGTGGTGAGACTGCTTCATCCTTAGCCAGAGGTCTCAAGTTCAAGCCCTGGATATGGAGAATAAAATCCTATTACGAGCGTCACCCCCAATTGGGCCGTGCAGTGCGCGATCCGGATTTAATCGGGGCTCAAATGTGGACTCCGGACAAATAAATATATATTTGAAACAACTTCTTTTCTCAATTTATGACTTGATCCAACAAGACAACTAAGACAATGATATGCCTGTACAAAGCTTGATCTGTTACAAGTACAAAGTTCAAGATTTTGAATTAGTTCAATTCTAAGAAAAACTTTCAAAATGAATCTTGAATTTGTATGTTTGTTGTTGCTTCTTTCATGGCTTATGGTTTTAGATCATTCAACAGCAGCTACATCTCTTGCAAAGCCTGGTTGTGAAGAGAGATGTGGTAACCTTACAATTCCATATCCATTTGGATTGAGTGCTAGTTGCTCCCTTAACTCGTGGTACTTGATCAAGTGCGATAAAAGTCATGATCCTCCTAAGCCTTTCTTGAATTCATTTCTGCAAGTTGAACTTCAAAGTGAGGTGATATCTGTGTCAATTGAAAACCAAACTATCATTACCTCAGTTTCAATAGTGAATTTTTGCAACAAATCGAGTGAAGGTAGTAAAATCATCACAACGGGGACAGATTTGTCTGGAAGTCCTTTTTATTACGCGAAGGATAGGAATAAGTTGATGCTTGTTGGTTGTGGAAATGGTCTTGTGACACAGAAACAAAATGTTCTCTCGGGGTGTACATCGATCTGTAGTGAAGGGGCAACGTTGACAGGATGTTATGGCATCAACTGTTGTCAATCTCTTTTCCCTTTTGATCTAAGTTCATACAAAGCTAACTTCACTAACTCGGGGATTCAGCAAGGTGCTTACCCGAGATGTAGTGCAGTTTTCTTGGTAGACCAAACTTGGGTTCCAGATGAAGTTGCACAGCCCTTTGTTTTTCTTGGTCATGCTCCTGTTGTTTGGCTCTGGACTCTCCAAGCCAAAGAGTTAGAAGCCGGATTGCTCTGCGACAAATCTGAGGCTGCTGTTAAGTTGGAAGATGGTACTTCTGTGGCAAATTTGCAGTGTCGCTGTGGAAATGGAACACAAGGAAATCCATACTTCTCTAACGGATGCCAAGGTACGTAATCATTTGATATATATGTGGAGTTGTTAACTCTCTGTTGCATTCAATAGTATCATGCATATGCACATCAGGTCAGGTGAATAATTTTTAGGAGAAAGATTGACTACGTTTACGAGACTAGATTGAACACTATTCTAGATCAATCAACATAAGTAGTTTTAGCATAGGTTGAATTTTTTGTGTATCCAATTTAGGCCTTGCCCCTGGTAGAACAGAATAGGGTCAAGTTGAGGTACACCATATTCTGTATAAAGTAATCCTAATTTTTTCCGTTCTATCACACTCGTATCGCCAACAAGACCTGTTCTTGTATATTCTCAAAATAGGGCTTCATTGAGCACTAGATGTAAAGGAGTTCTTGAACATTTCTGAGTAATTAGAAGAGCGCGGAATTGGACCTTCTTCAAATAGATGGATGTGGGATTGATTGTGGAACAGAGTATAGAGAACTGGGGCCGGGTGTGGAGTAATCGCTCTGGAACAGGTTCTTTGACTGGATCAATGCATGTATGACAGAACTGCCCCTTCCCTCCCTTCCATTAGTGCATTTAGAATCTAAAGCATCATTTCTCTTTCATTTCATGATTATGATCCAAGTAGTAGTATGTGAAGTTCACAATGATATGATAAAGTTAGTACAAAAATTAAGTTGACTGTAGGAAATCTTATGCTATTGAGTTCGAAAACTAAGATTTGAGAGTAGAAAAAAGAACTCAATTCACATAACTTCCTCAAAAGCATAGGAGGGAGTCAATTAGGCACTTATATTTAGTGTATGTATTTCCCTGGTGCATATCATTCTAACATTGTTTTGTATGTTATCAGCCATTCAACGATGCACCAATTGCACAGACATGGTAATCTATATGAAGCGATCTCCCACAATCGCTTTATTCAGTAAGTCACCTTCTGTATTACTTCCTAGCCATTTGAAAACTCAACACTGTCAGAACTAAATCAAGGAAATGGTACACATCCTTATTTTGATGCTTTGTGGTTCCAAAAGTTATCTATCTCTGCCTTTCTACCCTTTTCACTTGCAGAAAGACGAAAATTTCCTTCAAAAAAGAGAATTCTTGCTTATTGGCTAACTCTCGTCACTCCTATCTCCACAGGTGTATCCATAAGTATCGGAGTATTTCTACTACTGTCTTTGAGCTATTTATTGTACAAAACAGTCAAGAAGAGAAGGAACAAAAGACAAAGACAAAAGTTTTTTAAGCGAAATGGCGGCCTCTTACTACAACAGCAGCTATCATCCAATAATGAAGGTACTATTGACAAAGGAAAACTTTTCACTGCTAAAGAGCTGGAGAAGGCAACAGACCACTTCAATGAAAATCGCATACTTGGTCGTGGAGGTCAAGGTACGGTATATAAGGGCATGTTACCTGATGGAAAGATTGTAGCAGTGAAAAAGTCCAAGCTGGTAGACGAAAACCAGTTGGATCAGTTTATCAACGAGGTGGCTGTTCTTTCACAAATCAATCACAGGAATGTGGTGAAGCTACTCGGCTGTTGTTTGGAAACAGAAGTTCCTCTACTTGTATACGAATTCATAATTAATGGCACACTTTACAGCCTCATACATAATGAGAACAATGAGTTTCCCTTTACATGGAGCACGCGTTTGAGAATTGCCACAGAGGTAGCTGGAGCATTGACTTATCTACACTCAGCAACTTCTGTTCCAGTCTATCATAGGGACATCAAATCAAGCAATATACTTTTAGATGAAAAATACCGTGCCAAGGTATCAGATTTCGGCACTTCAAGGTCTATTGCAATTGATCAAACTCACCTAACGACCGGAGTCCAAGGGACATTTGGCTATTTAGATCCTGAGTACTTCCAATCCAGCCAATATACTGAAAAAAGTGATGTCTATAGCTTCGGAGTTGTTCTTGCTGAACTCTTAACAGGAAAGAAAGCAATTTCAACCACAACAAACCAAGACAGAAGTTTAGCAACAAACTTCCTTTTGGCAACAGAGAGAAATCTCCTTGATACGATTATCTATACAAAAATTTCACAGGAAGGTAGAAAGGAGGATATAATGGCGGCTGCTAGTATAGCGTATCGTTGCATGAACTTGAATGGAAAGAACAGGCCAACTATGAAGGAAGTAACCACAGCATTGGAAGCCATCAGATCACAAATGCCAGCTGCAGCAGTAACAAATTTTCAACTGGATAAGGGTGATACAGCAGAAAGAACTGTGATATCAGAAGTTAACTACACATGGACAAACACAAGTACCTCATCTTCAGATATCCATCCTTTGTTGTTTGAAACTAGTTAATTATTACTCCCTCTATCGGAGAAAGAATGTGTGTGTCTGTTTGTTCAACTTTACATTAGTTTAAATGTCTACTTCTACACACCTATAGTTTGGAGAGCATAGATGCTAGTTGAAGCCAAGTTAAAGGGCACATAAATATTATGCCTACAATAAGTGGCCGAAAATACCTCTAGCACCGAAATAACAAACAATTTTCATTTGACATAAGTTCATATAATAATATAACATGAGTTATGCTGCTTATTCCTATAGATATTATGCGAGAAAATGATTAAAATGGTCCTTGATATATTGAGGTTGCTTTATTTTGGTGCTTAATATATTCTAGGTGATTGAAATAGTCCTTTATGTATGACAAAATGTGTTCAATTTAGTCTTTTACCCTAAACTTAACAATTTACCCCAAAAAACTGTTATATATAACCGTGGGCCTCACATAACTTACAAAATCCACAATTTTTACCATCTTTATTAGCTCAAAGAAAGAGTTTCATGGATTTTAAAACACCATTTTTTCTAACATCTAACCACACAATTACAAAATAATTATTGTAAAAAGATTGAATAATTATAGTATTTGGGAGATATGATGAACAAAATTGGTCCGTGTTTTTGATTGAACAGTGACAGATAACACCTTTCTTTTTTACTCTACTGATCTCCCATTATTATTATTTTATATTTTTATGTTTTATTATTTGTGGAAAATAGCTCAATGATTGTATGTCTTTTGGCAATATACGCTATACCGATCTAAAGCATGAGTAGATGATTTTTTTTCAAGTATGAGAGCTCTCAGTATTTTCTACTAATGCTTTATGATCTATTTGAAATTGTTCTATTGTGAAATTTTTAAAAATTATTTGTGTCTTTTGCTGTGATGAATTCATAAAAAATTCACATGTCAAACAATTATTTTGTAATTGTGTGGTTATATGTTAGAAAAAAATGGTGTTTTAGAAAACATGAAACTCTTTCTTTGAGCTAATAAAGATGGTAAAAATGGTGGATTTGGTAAGTTATGTGGGCCCCACCATTATATTTAACATTTTTTGGGGGTAAATTGTAAAGTTTAGGATAAAAAACTAAATTGAACACATTTTGTCATACATGAATGACTATTTCAATCACCTAAAATATATTAAGAACCAAAATAAAGCAACCTCAATACATTAAGGACCATTTTGATCATTTTCTCATATTATGTCGATAGAGACAAAAGCTCAATTCAAAACCCACAAGCTCTATTGTAAAAGTATGGGTGTACATAGGTCGATTTGATTTGGTTTTTCATTAAAAAAAAAACCTAAACCAATTATGTCGGTTTATTAAATCTAAAAACCAAATCAAACCACGCAAAGTCGGTTTTTTCGGTTTCGGTTTTAGTCGTTTCTTTCGGTTTTTTCCAATTTTTCATTTTTTCGGTTTTTTACGACTATACGATGTTTGAAAATGTGATCAAATATATTTTCACTTACCTGTGAGATAAGCTAAACTTGAGAAATGTTAAATGAATAGAAATTTTCGTAAAAAGGGTAAAATTCACATGAGTACAATTTATTTGTTTTTGAAATATCAACGTTCATTATGTTAAATTAATAAGATTAAAGGATACAGTGAAATTGAATACAAAACGAAATATTTACAAAGTAAATTGTTGGGTTTTTTTTTGGATAAATTAGCAATTAAGTCATAATATTTAACATAATTAGTCAAAATAACAACACTTTAAAATATTTATTTAAAATGGCAGAATGACAATATTTTTATAAAATAATATGTATTCAGATTTTAGTATTTAAAATTAATTTTATTTATGGAAAAAGTCCTATATTGGGACCAAATTATATATCAATAACCGTTTAAAGAAAAAAAAATTAAACCAATACACATTAACCTTTTTTCAACTCCATTCACGTTTCTTCCCCACTTTTCACGTCTTCCCCACCTTTAATGTTTCAAATTTATCTTTCTTCAAGGTGCTAAATTGTTGTTCATCAAGAAGTCTTCTTTATTGTTAAATGAAATCTATTTATTAATTCAAGCAGATTTCTCGATTGGCAAGGTAATTTTCATTATCCATTTTGATTTATTTTGATTTGATGTTTAAATCATCGATTCTATATATTACGGATTTCCAGTCGAATTTTTCATTTTTTATGTGATTTTGTTTAGTTATTCATCAAATAGTTATGATTTTCAATTTTTTCGATTCTTTTTGTGATTTTCTTTTAATTTTTCAGATTTTGGAGAATCTAGAAATTCATATGTATGTTTATTTTGTTTGATATTTAATACATTCTAATTTTTGATAATTTCGAAATTCAAATTATCAAAAAAATTATTTTCATATTTGAGATTTAGTAGATTGTAGTAACTACATTAGCACACATACATCATATATTGTTTGATTTTTTTATACATTCATATTTAATAATTTTGAATTTTGCTTATAGGGTTACTAATGCACAAGTGAATACGGATTCAGATTCGGTTTTGATGAAAAAAATCAGAAAAAAGAACACAGTAGATGAAGAAGAAGAAGAAAGACAAAGTCAAATAAGAAGGTTACAAAATTGTATTCATACCACAATTGTATTCATATTAATTTTTGTTTGTCAATTGTTTTTCTTTTACTCATCATTTGTATTTTTATTTTAAAATATTGTATTTCTTTTTTAGTTTGTAGTAATTTAAATAGGTATATAATGTATTCGTCACAATTCTATATATTATGATTGAATACATAATTTATAGAATTGTGACGAATACATTATAAGAAGGGAAATGGAAACTTATTGGTATTCATTTTTTCGTTTGAAATACAAAATCATACTGAAATACAACCTGATATTTGAAATACAAACTTAGTAAGACATATTTTGTATTTTATTTGGCTAAAGCAATATAATTTTATGAATACATAATATATAAAATTGTGCGACGAATATATCACAAGAAGGGGAATACAACATTATTGGTATTCATTTTGCGTTTGATATACAAAATGATATTGAAATACAACCTGATATTTGAAATAAAAACTAAGCTAGAAAATACTTTCAGCAAATTTAAAGTGAAATAATAATATAACAAAATTGGATATTGAAATATAAATACAATTTATTTTGAATAAACGTATTCTATGTATTCATCACAACTGTATTTTTCAATATCATTTCGATCTACAACTAATTTGTATTTATATTTTGGTATATACTACACAACTGCCTTTATTTTTGTACTTGAACTAGAATGCCAAAGAGTTGTATTCATCATAAATCAATACCAACATTTTTTGTATTTTAAATTAGTTATACATATCATTAGGTATTCGAATACATTTCGGATGAACACATATTCAAAGAAGTTCAAACATTTAAATATCCAAAACAGAGGGCATTAGAAATTTTCCAACACTTCCACTCATATAAGATATAAAATACAAACTACTATTTTCAAAAAAAAAATTGAAATTCTTAAGAACAAAGAAAAAAACGCTAGAAAGAAAAATGGCAACATATGCTCTTTCAAAAACGTAACTGATGTTAAATTTAAAAAAAATTACCTTTTTTGAAATTTTTTGTTCCATGATTTTCTCTATTCAGTTATTAATTATTTGTATTCTTTCAAATTAATCAAAATAAAATAAATACATAACTCAATCCTTAACAAATTAAAATATTGACATTTTAAATAAATAGTGAAACTATTGCTAAGGAGTCCCATTAAAAGCTAAAATATTGTTGTTTTGAAAATTTTCCCTTTTTTTTTTCAATTGCCAAACCAACCAAACCAAACCACAAATCAGTTTTTTTTCGGTTTGATTTGGTTCGTCGATTCGATTTGACTTTACGATTTGACTTGTACACTCTTACATAAAAGGCATAACTTAGTTCCTACCCAACTTATGCCTATAGAGGCAAAACAACAGAACCCATGAGTAATGTCGTAAAAGGCATAACTTAGTTGCTACTGAACTTACACGAAGGCAAAAATTTTCTAAACTTATGCCTAGCGAAATTAGGGCATAGCACTACTACACAAGTTATGAAGCATAATTTAATTTCTACAAAATTTATGCCAAGTGAGGCAAACGTTTTCCAAACTTATGTGTAGCAAAATTAGGTCATAAATAACGATATTTTGGTCTATAAATTTTCATTAAACAAGCTGCAAAAGTGAAAATTAAAGACCATCGCATTTGAGGGCTATAATTAAAAATCACCATACATCATATATCATAGTAAAAAAGTTGATTGAATTTTAAAAAAATTCAAGTACGATATTCATATTGTAAATGAGTGAAATAGTGTATGTCCATACTAAATACATTTAGTATATAATATAGTGAAAAGAATATTTTAGGTTCACTTTATTGGTATAAATGCAGTGGTTTTGAGGTGGAGTTAATAATTCTTAAATGAAAAAAAGAAAGTGTTTTCCCGATAAGAAATAGAGAGACGATAGGAGATCTGCCGCTGATAGAGAAACATCACTTATTACTAAATTAAAATTTGTCTTGTTTGAGTTTCTCATCGGTATATGGCCTGACAGATCTCAAGACTAACAACATTAAGTAACCATTTGTACATAATAATTAGCCTTGTTAATTTTATTGAACAATTTACGGGTTGGATAAACATTCTCGCTTCTAAATTGGTATATCTCAATTTACAAGAAAAATAATTATTTTTTATACCAAAATTAAATTTTAGCCATACAAATAAATATTTCAATATGTTAATCACGTGTCAACTTTAGGTCTCTCATGAGTCAAAGTCTACCAAAAACTTTGATATTATTATATTCCTAGTCATTTATATGTATTTATAGTTTATAGCTCTGTATAAAAAAAATCAGTATTCATGTCTTATTATATAATTGGAAAGATATTTTTTAAATTAACAAAATGATAGTTATTTGTTGCAATACGACATCTTCATTTTTATTGTCAAAACTTTTTGATAAATAATAAGATTTAAGTAATTTAATTTAAAGTTATAAAATATTAAACAAAGTTATATTGTCAATTAACTAAAAAAAATAAAAAATTCTTAAAAATATAATATATTCCTAACTCCGTGACTATAAGGGAAATAATGAATTTTTCTAAATATTAATTGTAAATTTATAATACAAATAATAATTTTCTAGTGATTACGATAAGATTGTTGTTGTATATTTAATGTATTCCTAGGTAA